CTGGCCTTGCTTACCCCAGTGTCCCATATTGGCCGTGTGCTACTATGCTTGGCCTTTTTCCCTGTTTCTTAACAAGAGGCTGCTTAACTAGGGTAAAGATCTTGAGCCTCAGTCATTAACCTTCCTAATGCTGCAACTTTTTAATACGTTTCCTCATGCTCGGGAGAACCTCATCAATAAAATTATTTTCATAACTATGTAGTTTTGCTACATAGTTTTAATGTAAATGTCTGTGTTTTCCAATGGTCTTAGGAGACCCCTGTGAAAGGGTCAGTCTACCCTCAAAGGGGTGGTGACCCACAGGTTGAGAATCACTGGTCTGGAGGCTAGCTAGCTTTGGTTTGGATTGACTCTACTCTAGATTGGGCAACATGTGGCTGCAGGGATTGTACGTTGCGTCTGGGGTACTCTGACAGAGGGCTCTTGGTTTCCCTGTATGTGTGTGAACAGTTCTCATCAGCTCTGCACTTTAGTGTCTGGTTTACGTGCGCAAGAGAGAAAGAGAGGGGGTCGGGGGGGTGGAGAACAGGGTTTTGCAATACAGGTGTATGCTGTGTGTGTGAATTGGAGTGGTCAGCTAAATTTCTATTGGGTGGGACAAACAATTAAAAACTACGACAAAACCTCACTAATCTGTCTTACTGGCTTACAGACCTCTATAGGAAGAAGAGCAGCAAGTTGAAGGACCAGCGAGGATGCTTTAGTGGAAAGCAGAGCATTTGCAATGATGGTTAGAAGAGGTTAAAGAAACACATTGATCGACTAGGGCCAAGAGATCTTACTGTGTGAAATCCTATTTAGACTGATAAAACTGTAGAACCAAATCTGGCAGAGGGGCAAGCCACACTAATGGGATATTTGGTGAAATTCACAGATGAGTGCTATGCAGTAAAAGTTCTTATCTTTGGGTGTGTGGAAATTACATGTGAATTATCAGGTCTAGGATTATCAGGTCTGCAATATAATTGAGAATGCCTAGGTGTAATGCTCGGCTGTAATTCCAGCAGGCAGGAAGCAGAGGCAGGAGAGTCATGTGAGTAGCCTGGGCTGTGGGCAAGATAGTGTTTCCAGACAGTCTTTTAAAAGGAAGCGGGTAGGTTTTTTGTAAATACTTTGTAGTGATGTCTGCTGGCTTCATTTTGAAGTGTAGCTAGGAATGTTAAAGATGAGCTGTTTGAACTTCCGGAAGCCAGCACAGAATTTGCTACTTATGGTAGTTTTTCTTCAGGTTAAACTACAGAATTTGAAAACAAAAGTACAAATTTAAAAAGAAGGAAGCAACTTTGGCAGTGTTTTGGGCTTCTCTAGTCTTTTCTGTTGTATCTGAGGATTTCTTATCAGGAATCGGACAAGAGTCAGGGGCACTGAAACTGTCCATGGGACCCTGACGGTGCGATCTTCACAGATGCGCTTCTTCTTTTGCTCCTCTGGTACCATTGACTAAGTGGACAGGAGTGAGTCCCATCATTCCTCTCGGCCCACTGAGGCTTCTTCTGCAGTTTGTACCACCTGTCGTTTCCTGATGCCCGAAACCATTCAGTCAAAGATTCCAAAAAAAAAAGCAACTCCCAAGTTTAAATAACTGAATGTCCAAATGTAGTCAAGTTAACAACCAAGAACTGCCTTCACAGCCCTTCCACCCGCACGCATACAGGCAGCACCAATTAGACTTGGTGGGTTATGTAAAAATAAACATAAATAAAAAATGGACAGTAAATTGGGAGGCAGACATGTGCAGGTTCTAGAAGTAGATGGAGGTGAGATGAATATGACCAAAGGACATTGTATAATATATGATAATATAATTTACGATATCCTCATATATAATATATGATATTCTCAGAGAGTAAATAAAATGCTTATTTAAAAAGTTTAAAAAAAGTGTATGTCACATGATTATAATTGTTCAACTTTATTGTTGTGATTGTCTTACTGTTCCTAACTTAAAAGATTTAACTTCTTCACAGGTCCATTTGTAGGGGAACATTCAGTACTGCCCGTAGTCTTGGGTATCTGGCGGATGTCTCTGGACATACCCCCTGAGGGTGAGGGGGCGCTGCAGTGGATGCTTATTGGAGAAATAATGTTACAAATGGTGGTGGATGGAAAAAGCATTTTTCCTTTGTCTTTATCAACTTTAATATATATTTATTTTTATTTATTACTGTTCTGTATGTTTGGTGTGCATGTGCGCACATGCATGCCATGACAAGTGTATGACAGTCAAAAGGACAACCTTGTGGAGTCGGTTCTTTCTTTTCTCCTCTATGTACTACTGGGGATTGAACTTGGGTTGTCAGCAGGTACTTTACCCTCTGAGCTATCTCGTCACCCCAGCTCTTCAGTTTCAAACAGAGGGTTGTTCGTTGGTGTTCGTGCATCTTACCGAGATACTCAGTGTATGGGTTTTATCAGCAGTGGTGTTCCTTTTGTTGAACATAGGGACCTATTCAACCCTAAACTTGGAAACACCCAAGGCCCATCTTTTCCAGCAGTGGATGTTTTCAGTGTCTTTTAATGCTGACTGAAGTTAAGAAGGCACAAGGGCTGACAGTTTGGATGAAGTTTCCAAACTTTCTAGAACTTCTTTAAACTCTGAGTGTTGGACTGCAGAGATTGCTCTTGACGTTGGCAGAGAGGGAAAGTGGGATTTTAGCCACTGGGTTAGTGAAGAGGGCTTGCCACCTCAGTGACAGCCTTTTTACGACTTATAAGAAGCCTTCTTCTCATTAGTTAACTCTTGAAATTGATACAGAAATCACTACTGTTCGTAGGGTACCATGTTTCAATCTGAGTACTCACTGCAAGATATTCTATTAGAGTAGCTTATCTCTCTAGCATTTATATTGTTTCAGTTTGCTTGTCTGGGACAAAGTGTTACTATGTAGCCCTGGGTGGCCTCAACTCTACTCTGCTTCTGCCTCTGGAATGCTGGGATTATAGGCACGCACCATCTTATATCCAGTCTAATATTTACAATTTCTTTGTTGTAAAAGATTAAATTCCATCTTCTAGAACTTTTTGAGATATGCAAGACAGTGGTTTTTATCTGTCATCACTCCACTGTGCAGCAGAACTATTTTTCTCATCTAACTATAAATTATAAATGGCTGTTGACTTACCTTTCCCCGTTCCTCTCTCCTCTTGAGAAAGAAACCTTAGGATTAAGTTTAATATTTAAGCATTAATTAGGTGGTTTTAACCCTTTAGTGAGCGTAAAGTGGTTCATGGAATCCAGAAAGGTGGTTCAGTGTATAAAGGTGCTTGCTCTCAAGGCTTACCACCTGACAATGGAAAGAAGGAGAGGTGGGGAGAGAGAGGGAGAGGGACAATAAATAAGATAAATGAAAATAAATAAAATAAAGTGGACCTTAGGTACACAACTAAAGCAAAGTGTGTCTGTACCTCTCTGCAGTGCAATCAACTCTTTCCACCTTAGCGGCATATTGAAGAGTGAACGGGAGCACTGTCAGCTTGCCCAGGGACGGGAGCACTGTCAGCCTGCCCAGGGACAGGAGCACTGTCAGCTTGCTCAGGGACTGAGGTCAGCCAGGCTGCTGCATCTGTCCTTGAACTGCACTGTGGTGAATGTAGCCTGAGGTTGTGACGAGATCTTTGAGGAGAGAAGTGAGACTCAGCGACACATACAGAAATTGCCTTTGACTGCAGCTCCTGCAGCCCCTGTCTGCCACTGTCTGGTTTCTGCACCCCAGGCTTGCCCTGCCCCTATGCCAGGGCTCTCTTAGATGACAAAGCAGTCCAGGACAGTTCTGGACAGTTGTAGACACAGCCCTGGTTTTTAGACGGTTCCTCAGAGCTTCTGAACGGCAGCTGTGTGTGACTTCACGCGTTTCTGGTTACACTGCTCCAAGGCCACCTCTTGGCCACTGGGGGACAGACATGCTCTGGGGATTCCCTTCAGGTGGCAGCTCCACCTTGTCTCCTGGGTTTAATAAAAGCAGAGCTTCTGGTAGGAGTCGGGTGGGGAGACAATATTCCAGACAGCTTGAGCTAAGTTCCCAGCAGGCTCTTAGGGTACACAGGGCCACTCAGAAGATATCTAAGCTGTGCAAGCATATAGTTTTGTTATGTTACTTTTTTTTTTTTTGACACAGGCTTTCATATAGCTCGGGCTGGCTTCAAACTGACTGTGTAGTTAAGAATGACCTTTAACTGGATTCTCCTGCTCCACCCACCTCTGCCTAGTTTCTCCTTCCTCTGCCTAGTTTCTCCTTCCTCCTACCCACTCACCCCTCCCTCCCCAGGGATAAGTTGATAAGTTTAAATATCCTTATCGACAGTGGAATGTTCTGCATTGGTTAGAATTTCAGGATAGTAACTGATGATGGTATGGACAAAATAGATGGTCAGTAAAACAGCCAGCCAGCTTCTGACCCTTAAAAAGTGTGTGGTCAAAACAGAGGCTGTGGTGGTGCCTCTATTTTTACTTAAAACAGGGCTCAGCCTTGAAGAGGTGGGTCAGAGGACAGGTGGTCCTGAAAAGAGCTGAGCATGTGGGCAGGAGTTAGTCTTTTCCAGGATGGAGTGTGCCAATTTGGAGTGGGCGCATAGGTGCGGGTGGTGATGGCCTTGTGTGGAGGTCACACAGAGATGGCAAAGGTTGCTATTTTTCTTTCGCTTTTTGCAGTATAGGGTTGTACCCAGGGCTTCCCCTGGGGTAGGCAAGTTCTTCACCTCTGGCCACACTCTCAGCCTTTGATTTTTTTTTTTAATATTTACATACTATTTTTATGTGTATGCGTTTGTACCTGAATAAATTTATGTGCCCTGTGCTCATAGGAGCCCACTGAGGCCAGAAGAGGGTGTCAGATCTCCTGGAGTTACAGGTTGTGAGCTGCCCTGTGGGTGCTGGGAACCGAACACATAGGTGCTCTAAACAGCTGACCCTCTTCCAGCTCCCTCGACCTGTTTACTGACTCTTACTTTGGTTAAAGGATAATGACTTACAACATCCACCTCTCCCTGTGCTTCTGTTTCAGGAGAACTATGAGCAGATGAAAGCTTTAGTGAGTCAACTTCATGAACGGGCCCAGTATATAAGACTAGGTAAGTGTCTGTCTGTCTGTCTATCAGCTTGATATGGACCCCAGGCTGGCCTTGAACTCATGATCCTCTTGCCTTTTCCAAACACTGTGAATTCAGTCATGGGCTACTACTCACAGCTACAAAGTAAGATTCTTAGTATATTACAGTTGCCTACTTTAGAAGGAGCAATGTGAATGTTATAGTCCTCATTAAAAAATACTCTCCCCAATATCCTCACAGGCAGACAGACCCTGTTTTGCCCATAACCTGTGCTCTGACAATATTGTTGCAATCTTAGGTATTATTGTGTCTGGAAGACAACTTTATTTGTTGAAGTAATCAGAAAAGTAAAAATATGAGAAGTATCATCTGTATTTGTTTTCTTTAAGGAGCGTATTCAGGAAATGTAACTGATTTGAGGCTGGTGAACAGAGAGGCCAGCTAAAGTTGCCTATTCCGTTATGTACTGTGTTAGGGAAGGAAGAAACAAATGTTGACCCAGGAAAAAGTTTTGAGAGATGGTCCCAATGTTCTGTTACTAAGCACTTTGGTTAGATTGTTTATTTTTGAGGTTAGGTGTCTTTTGGTTTTTTGAAACAGAATTTCCCTGTGTACCCTGGACTGTCCTAGAACTCACTAGGCTGGCCTTGAACTCAGAGATCCTCTTGTCTCTGGCTTCCGAGTGCTGGGATTAAAGGCATGTACCATCACTGTCTGGTGCAACTAGGTGCCTAGACTGGACTTCCTTCTGCAAAGTCAAGGATGACCTTGGGCTCCTGATCCCCTGCTGTCACCTCCCAGGTGCTGAGATTATAGCCGTGCACACATGCCTGGCTTACATGTTACTGGGAATGGGATCCGCATTCTACAAACAGCTACTCCTTCAGATCATTCAGTTCTTCTAGTAAACTTTCAGTTTCTAGTTTTTATCAACGTTTTATTCTTAAATCTAGGAATGAGCATGAATTATAAGTACTTCAAATACACATTTCCATCTTATTTTAAATTAATAGAATATGTAAGAGTTAGTAAAAGGGAACTGAAAGTAGAAGCAAATAAAATAGGTCTTTACTAGATGCTGCCCTGTCATTTTACTATAGCAGAATAGTAAATGAGTAAAGTCTTTTTCAGAAAGATGGTTGTAATTTATACCCTTGAAGTGCTATGGAAGTGAGCAAACTGCAATCCTCTGGGACTAAGGACAGCCACAAATGTAACCCATTACAAAATCATGAACTTACTTTAAAAATGAGGGTTTGTTTGTTTGTTTGTTTGGTAACACAATTTCTGTATTCTTGAATAACTTTGTAGATGACAGTGTCCTGTTACAATGTCAAAAGTTTGGCTGGCCCTTTAAAGGGCTGGGTTTATGGCTCATTGGTGGTATGCATGCTTTAGCATAGTCACCTCTTTACCCCAAAAAAGACTGAACAAAGATGAAGATGAATATGCCGTCTCTAGAAAAAGAACCCACACATATGCCAATTAAAAACCTATGTTGTTAGAAGAGATAACTCCATGGTTACACTCATCCTCAGTTTGGGTTTCCTGGGTCCTTAGGACAGATGGCTTTGAATCAAGAAGGATCCAAAGTCCTGTGATATGAACCTGCTGAGGGTGGTGGGTTCTTGTAAGCTGCAGAGGTAGGCCTGCCGTGGAGGAGAGGTGGGACTGGGAGCAAGGATGACATTGGCCTTTGCAGTTTTGCCTAAATTGTTCTGCCATGAAAATTTTAGTGGACATTATATCAGCACATATTAATTTGTGTTAATTGTTAAGCCATATTAAAATATTCTTTTAAAGATTTATTTCATTTATTATATATACAACATTCTGCCGGCATGTATGCCTGCAGGCCAGAAGAGGGCACTAGATCTTATACAGGGCTATGAGCCACCATGTGGTTGCTGGGAATTGAACTCAGCACCTCAGGAAGAGCAGCCAGTGCTCTTCTAAACCACCTCCCAAGCCCAATAATTTATTTGTTTTTAGAGCACTGATTGGCATTTTGCCAAGGCAGGGGGCTCTTGTATGTATGTCTGTGTGAGGGTATCAGATTCCCCCAGAACTGAAATTACGGACAGTTGTGAGCTGACATGTGAGTGCTGGGAATTGAAACTGGGTCCTCTGAAAGAGCAGCCAGTGCTCTTAACCACGGAGCCATCTCGCCAGCCCCCTAAAATATTCTTATAGAAAAATTAGAAAATAAAGAAGTATCCAAAAAAACACCCGTAAATAATCCCTCTAAATGTACATTTTTAGCACACCTTTGGATAGCTCCACAATCACTTTTAGTAGCAAAACGTGTTAAGCTTTTGTGCTGTTTAAGGGTTTAGTGTGCCTTGGTCTGGATATGTCTCCTGAGATCTGAGTGCTGTAGACTGACTTAGCAGGCAGCTGTTGATAAAGAAGTAGGAAATATTACTTGTTTCCCAGTTTTTATTTTTTTCTTCTCATTATAGACTTGAGACTTCTGTTTTCCTTTCCACTAATTTATTTGTTTACTTTATATCCCAATTTCTGACTGTTTTTTTTTCTTTTTCTTTTTTCTTTTTTTTTTTTTTTTTTTTTTGTTGTTGTTTTTTTGAGACAAGGTTTCTCTGTGTAGCCCTGGCTGTCCTGGAACTCACTCTGTAGACAAGGTTGGCCTCGAACTCAGAAATCCGCCTGCCTCTGCCTCCCAAGTGCTGGGATTAAAGGCGTGCACCACCACTGCCTGGCTCTGACTGCTTTTTAGTGAAAGTTTATTTATTTTTTTATTTTATATACATTGGTATTCTGCCTGCATAGATGTCTGTATGAGGGTGTCAGATCCCCTGGAACTGGATTTACAGACAGTTTTGAGTTACCATGTGGGTTCTGGGAATTAAACCCAAGTCTTTTGGAAGAGCAGCCAGTAGTCTTAACCACTGAGCCATCTCTCCAGCCTGACTTCTAACTTTGAAAGTAATGCAATTTCTGATGTAGTTTTCAGACAGGAGGAGGGGCAGATGTTTGGGGATGTTTTTCAGATACTCCTTGATTTTTTTCGTTAGCAAGAACATGACAAATGGAAGGTTGGGCATTACATGACTCTTGGCCTCTTTCCCATTTTCTCATCTCTATCCACATTCTGTCAGGCTTCTTCTCTGGCTTTACTGTGTTTGATCCTCCTTATTTTTAATCTGTTGAACACAGAGGGTGACAGTGACTCAGTCATTCTCTAGGCAGAGAAGGGATGACCCCCGTGGTGCTTTCATAATACCCAGAACCAAGTATTCTGATTAAGCCACACTAATCAAAGGACTGTAAGTGTTTTGATCAATTTAAAAGTGCTTTGTTTTTATCCTGTTTTGTCTTTATATTTTTAATCCTGAGTAATATCTTTATGGAGGTAAACATCTGCAAATGGTTTTGGTGGTTGAGGCAGGGGGCTCTTGTATGTTTTTTTTTAAGGCATTTAAAAATGGAAGACACATTCTACTCATGCTGTCCTGCAGTGAATGTCCCACGGAAAGCAACAACACTGAGACACTAGTCAGTGTGTACAGACAGACAGCCTTTGAAAGAAGCTGAAATCCTTCTGTAAAATGTTTCCTGATGTCTGCTCCTGACAGCTTCCTGTCGTGGATTCTAAGAAGAAATTGAGCATCTTTGGAGTTACTCCAGTTGTGGTGAGACAGCCACTAGGCAAGAATTGCCTCTTTTCATCTTCAGACAAATTACTGTCTTGAAAAGAACACACTTGCAGAATAGTCAACTGATTATATCTGCCAAGACAGAGTAATCAGCTCTTAATAATTCTGCATCACTAGGTCTGTCAGATGATCCTGGGCCAGAAGGCTGAAGATTGGATTCTCCAACGTTTTGTAGTATAGGGACTGTCCAGGTGTTCAGTGGTCTCTATAAATTGGCTAAGTTTTAGAAGCTATGCTTTGTGCTTCCCATAATTTCAGTTAATTCAGTCATTCTGGATTTCTGATGGAGTTGAAGACTTACAGTCTCATATCCAATCCCGGCTATTTACTTTGAGAGAAAAGATTTGAGAGGATGGTTTTCAGCTGACATCCATTCTAAAGCCAAGAAAAAAGCCAGGTTCAGAACTAAGTCTTTTAGTTAGGAGAGATGAGAGAGGTTCTGGTTAGTCAACAAAATGATGGACAGGGTATTAGGTCTATCTTGTACCTTACTGATGCAAATTGGTATAGTTATGCTCTAATTGTATTTTGAGAGAAAAGTTTTATTTTAACAGGAAGGGTGATATGTAGGAGGAGCTAAGGTGGGAGGAGTAAGGAGAGGAAGAGGAGTAAGGAGAGGAGGAGGAGGAGAGGAGGAGCTAGGAGATGAGAGGGGGGGAGAACATGGAGGCAGATGTTCATGTGTCTCCATCAGTCAAAGATAGTTGGTATATCTAGGTTGGGTATTGGGTTACACTTCTGATTGTATGGGCATCTTGTTATTGAGCATTACCAAACTTATAAAGCCTTTGATTAACATTTAAAAAAATTACTAAAAAAAAAAATGTTTCCTGATTTCAGGCATGCTAATGTGTGAGCATAATGAGAATCTTAGAGTCAATGGGACTTGATGAATTGCACACAGAGCTTAATAAAAGTGGCCATAAGGAAGATGAGTTTCATTTGTTTGTTCGTTTATATTAGAATGGAATCTTTCTCTATAGCCCAGGCTGTTTCTGGAACAATTCTCCTGCTTCAGCTTCTGAAGTACTGGGATTGCAGGTGTAAACTACCTCATCTAGCTAACATAAAAAAAATGTAGGAACCCTCTTTGGAAGAACAAGATGCTCTATTTTGCTGTCACATGGTCAGTTTACTACAGAGGAACCAGATATGGAGGGATATATCTGTAATGCTAACACAGGAAGTAGGAGCAGGAGGATGCAAAGTTCATGGGTAGCCATGGCTCTATAGCAAATTAGAGGCCTGCCAAGCTGCATGAGACCCTGTCTCAAAACGTGTGCGAGTGAGTGTGTCGCGCGCGTGCGCACACACACACACACACACACACACAGGAGTTTCACTCTGTGTTCATTGAGTCTGCATCAAGGATAACTCACCTTTTGGCTCTTTATGAGACCAGAATATCACCAGCTACTGTAAGAGACAGAGCCAGACTCAGAAGAAAAGCAAGAAGTAATACTTTCTCATATCCTTCCCATTGCCCCCTCTTTGTCACCCACCTCCTGCTTTTGGTTCCATGACCGGTCGTTGGTCCCTTTATAAGCACCCATGTCACCCAGCTCTCCAAAGGCCTTTGCCCAAGCCTTGTTTGCTTTACTTTATTTAAAAATCACATTGGTGGTTCTCTTGTTTGTTTTTAAGTATGGAAGTAAGTTAGTGTACAATAAGCTGCCTTGAAGTATGTGGCTGGAAGCATGGTCCCATGGACAACACCAGAATCGAGACAGCATCCCCTAGAATGTCTACTCTTCAGAACTCCTTCATCCCTCTCCTACTGCCCTAAACACACAGTAAGGACTTGGCCAGTAGTTGGGAGAAGAGAAAAAGCAATTTTAATCGTACTATCTTGCAACTAACTCATTTTGAAAGAAGAAATAATTTGTGGTATAATAATCCCAGTAACACCAAAGTAGATTTACTCTTAAGAATTTTCTGTGTACCTCTTCAGAAGAAGAAGAAAAAAAGTTCTCTTGCAGCCAAGATCCCTGATTTGAAAATGAGAAAAATGATTTGAAAATGTATTTGGAAGTTTGTTTGACATAGGTATGAACATAACTTCTTATCTAAATCAACAAAGAAATGGTTATTTAAAAATTGTTGACTACTTTATTAGACAAAGGCAGCTGTGTTAAGATAAATTTAGGAGCCTGGCACCATGGCGCACATCTTTAATCCCAGCACTCGGCAGGGAGAGGCAGGTGGATCTCTGTGAGTTTGAAGTCAGCCCGGTCTACATAGTTCCAAGGCTGTTACACAGAGAAATTCTACCTTTAAAAAAAAATAAATATAGTAATTAATTTTAATTAATTAATTTGGAGCAATAGTAAAAATAGGCATTTCTGGCAGTTTGATCCTTCTCCCACTCTGTAGCTGTGACTTGGTTAGAGTGGGTTGGGGAGGAGGAACTCAGGACATTCCAGTCATAGATATCTTGCCTTGCAGGCTGGGTGGTAAGGCTTGGTGCTTCTTTGGTGTCAAGAAGCCCCATTGGCTTCTGCACTGCTCTTTGGTTAGTATAATTTTGTCAAGATTTGGCCAGTGTTGGGAACCACAGAAGACAGGGGCCATTGGACTGTGCCACCAGACAGAAGAACTGGTAAGGCTGAGTGAGCCCGAACCCCATGAAACTCAGGATTGTGTACAGAAGGCATGGGACCAGCTCCCTGCCAAACTACCTGCTCTGGACATGTAACCATGACACCTCACTGAGAGGACCATAACAATCAGTCATGAAGCATAAAAAACTGGAATTCTGCATGCTAATGAGGGATCTAGATTACCCCCCCCCCCAAAAAAAAAGTGCTCAGCCAATGAACTTACCTTCCTGGGCAAAATGAACTTACCTTCCTGCAAAACTGCAAAAGGTATTTAATCCTTGGTTCACCCTGAGTAAGGTGCATGCATTTACATTAGCCATCAAATAAAGCAGATTGGACAAGCAGGGATCACCATTGGGGGAGGCCTTCTTCATAAAGAGCCTCACCTAAATCTGGAGAAGGCCTTCTTCCAGCCACTCAGCACAGACTAGGAATTAAACCGCTTCCGCCCATCAAGGCTTAAGCATGGGCTGAGGACCCCCATTACTGACTGTTCTGCCTCCCCTGAGCGGCATATGGGTGCTCCCGGCACCCTTGTGGTGAGGCAGATAGACCCTCCCTGAATCAAGATATTACCAAAGAGGACCTGCTAATCACTGTGGAAAGATTCCAGCTTTCCCATGTGTAGACCTAATAGCCCCTCTAGGCAAATTTGCACATGTCCAGCATGGATCAAATTTCCAAAGCTAGGTTTTTATCTGGTCCAAATGAAAAATAGGAATGTTCCCAGGTACAGTGTATTGCATGTTTTTGTGGTTGTATTTGGCACACGCGAGGCAATGAGGCAGTGTGTGAGTTCTAATGAAAATAGCATGCCATTTCTTTAGACAGTGAATTCAGAACATGTATGATATATCCTCTAGGATCAGGGATAGATTGGCGTGTGTGTATATGCACATGTCATTGAAAAAAAATCAGTTTATTTACTGCAGAAAACTGGCATCAGGTACATCTAGGGATTAAAAAATAATTAGCTTTTTCTTACAGGATACACTGAACCTTTTTTATTTTTCATTCATTCATTTGTTCATCCATTTATTTGTTTGTTTTTCCAGATAGGGTTTTTCTGTGTAGCCTTGGCTGTGCTGGAACTTGCTCTGTAGAGCTGGCTGGCTTCAAACTCTGAGATCTGCTTGCTTCTGTCTCCCAGTGCTGGGGTTAAAGGAGTGTGTCACCAGCACCTGGCCCACCGATCCCTTTGTCAAGTGCCGTGTTTAGAGTGAAGCACTGTTTGTGTTCCTAGCATTCGGTGAGATGGAGGCCTGTCTCCTGTCCATCTGCTCTAATCTAATTATGCTTTTATTGTAGGAGGGAGTGAGAAAGCCCGAGCACGGCACACATCAAGAGGAAAACTGTTACCCAGAGACAGAATCGACAATCTCATAGACCCAGGGTTGGTCTAGTGCTTTCTACTTCAGTGTGTCTTCTGTCTGGACAGCTCCATCGACAAATGGTTCTAAATTTGGGTTCCTATAGTGTCTTAGTTAGAGTTTTACTGCTGTGAACAGACACCATGACCAGTGCAAGTCTTATAAAGGACAACATATATTTGGGGCTGGCTTACATGTTCAGAGGTTCAGTCCATTATCATCAAGGCAGGAATATGGGAGCATCCTAGCAGGCATGGTGCAGGAGGAGCTGAGAGTTCTACATCTTCATCTTCTGCTGCTAGCAGAATACTGACTTCCAGGCAGGTAGTTCGAGGGTATTAAAGCCCTAGCCCACAGTGACACACCTCCTAATAGTGCCACTCCCTGGGCCGAGCATATTCAAACCATGACATTTAGGGTTCAAAGAGCACCATACATTTATTGAGAGCCTACTGTGTGTCAGACACTTACAGGCAATGAAATGGAGGCAGTTTCAGGGAATGAGATGGACAGACACTTCTGCGCTACTGAGTTCCATAGGTCAGAGAGAGGCAGAAAGTAAGTAAGCAGTAAACATTGGAATTGTAAAATAGACTAGAATGAAGCCAGTGTTGTGGGAAAGAGAAACAACCAATCAGAAGCTCGGCAGTGAGAGAGCTCTAGGTGTGTTTAAGCAGTGCCAGGAAGCCAAAGTAGTTGAGGCAAGTGGAGGGGAGAATAGTAGGGGGTGGGGTCTGATTCTGGGGCTCTGACTTTTCAAAGAAAGAGGGAACAGCAGTCTGAATTAAACAGGACTTGTTGAGTGTCTAATGCATGTGGCAGGATGACACTTGTGGTGCTGGGCCGGTAGACTATATTACCTGGTGGCTCTCTTGGTTTGTGTTCATATACTTTGTTATTTTTGTGAATGACAGTCACCCATAGCTTCTGCTTTCTGGATCCTGTCATGAAGCGTGACAGATGACTGTTTTTACTTAAAGATTTTGCTCTTCTGGCTGCTGTGCAGGGAGTGGACTGTGCAGTTGGGTAGAAGGGTAGAGGGGCGCGGGTGTTACACACAGCAGAGACCTGGTAGATCTCCTGAAGGACGGGTCATGGCGAACAAGGGAAAAGGTGGGTGTATGTACAGGGTGTGTTGAAGATAGGGTCTCATGTAGCTGATATCAGATTCACTGTATAGCTGAGGATGACCTTGAATCCCCACTCCCATTTTGGAAGTGTTGGGGCTTAAACCTAGGGCATCATCCAAGCTAAGCAATAGTTCTGTCACTGACATATAGCCCCAGCCCAACCTTGAACTTCTGATCCTCCCTCCTCTGTCCTTCTGAGGATGGGATTACAGGAGTACACCATATCCTGTTTCCATGGTGCTGGGCATTGAACCCAAGCCTTTGTGCATGGCATGTGAGTACTCTACCAACTGAGCTATATCTTTATCCCATCAAATATTTTTTCTTATGGCATCCATGTTTGGATGAGAGTGTGCATGCGTAAGCCCAGGGGCAGCTGTGTCATGGCACATGTGACAGTCAGAGGACAGTTTTCAGTTGTCACTCATCCTCTACTATCTTAGATGATCCAAGGATCAAACACAGGTTGTCAGGCCTGTATGCAAATGCTTCTACCTGCTGAGCCCTCTTACAGCCCCCAGCACACACTCATTTATGCAGATATATATATAATTTATATCAGGCACCTGCATTAGAAAAACAAAAAGCAATCATACCAAATCTAGCATTCTAGAACTCCTTTTTCTCCATTGTATCTTGAACACACGTATAAATGGAGTGTGGACAGTACAGTGCCAGATATGAGCCTGGTACCTCGCTCGGAACAGTTTGTGTCTGGACAACCCAGACCTGCCGTTTACTACCTGTGAGACCTAAGGCTAGTGGCTGGGTTTTGGTTTCCTCTTTAGCGAATGAGTTAGTGCCCTTATGAAGCCCTTAGATGAGAGCCAGGTACATGGTAATAGTTACCTCTTGTTCCCTTTCTATGGTAATATGCACATTTACATAGCATTTTAACAGTAAGTCTCCAGTATTTTATGGTAGCCCATTACATGGCTACACCATATGAATTCCTATGAAATTCTTGTCCAGTCTTATTTTAGAAATCTTTTTGTAGATTTTTATATGTTAGCACGCATTTTTAAAATATTGCCCTGTTAAAAAAAATTGTTCCATTGTTATGTGTAACATTTTAAATACAGATATTTAATTTAGACAACATCCTTTCTTCCTCCTTAGGTCTCCCTTTCTGGAATTTTCCCAGTTTGCAGGTTACCAGTTATATGGCAACGAGGAAGTCCCCGCCGGTGGCATCATTACGGGCATTGGGCGAGTGTCGGGGTGAGTGTCCCGCCTGTGCTGGGTTGTGAGGGGCAGGAAGAATTGCTACAATGGGGTGCCCGCCTCACTCTTTATGTGGCATGGAGGCTTTGTGCTCTCTGAGACGTGAGTGTCCCACATGTGTTAGGCTCATCTGTGGCGCTGCAGAGACCACAAATTGAAGAGAGAAAACTAAAATTCAGCCAGAGTTTCTGATCCAACTCAGACTTCCCTACTTCCTCCAGATGTGGAATTTTTAAATAGTTTTTATTAAAAAGTTATGTTTTCCATATATGTTTTTTCACTATAAAATCATATTTGATTCTGTTGGATGTATCCAAATCAAAAAAGTTAAAATTTCTCAGTTTTATAAAAAAACTTCAATCATGATCACTGGTATTATTATTTTTTTATTAATTTGTTCTCTCATATATTGCATCCTGACTGCATGCCCCTCCCTCCCATCATCCTAGTCCCCGCCCCCTCCATCCTTCCTCCCAGGGATATCAACCAAGCATGGCATATCACGCTGCAGTAAGACGAGGCACCTTCCTCATCTTAAGGCTGGACAAGGGAATAGAAACCGGAGGCCCCACGTCCTAGAGAGCTAGAACAAAACCAAACATGCCTGGAAAAAAGAAAAGAAAGTAAAGAAATGATTCCTAATGATATTCTGCTGTACTCATAGACAGGAGGCTAGCATAATCACCATCAGAGAGGCTCCATCCAGCAACTGAAGGAAACAGATGCAGAGACCCACAGCCAGACATTAGGCAGAGCTCAGTGAGTACTGCAGAAGAGGAGGCGGAAGGATTGTAGGCGCTAGACGGGTCAAGAACACCGTCAGAAATACCACAGAATCAGCAAACTTTGACCTAGGAGTCCACAGTATATTAATGTATTCTGATCATATTCTGTCCCCTCCCCCAGGTCCTCTCCACTTCCCTACTCACACAACTTTATGTTTTTTCTCTCTCAAAAAGAAAGAAAGGAAAGAAAAGACAAAAAGAGAAGAGAAAAGAAATGACAAACTAAAATAAGAATAAAAATAGGGCTGGAGAGATGGCTCAGTAGTTAAGAGTACTGATTGCTCTCCCAGTGATCCTGAGTTCAATTCCCAGCAACCACATGGTGGCTCACAACAATCTGTAATATGATCTGATGTCCTCTTCTGGTGTGTCTGAAGAGAGTGACAGTGTATTCACATAAATAAATAAATAAATAAATAAATAAATAAATAAATAAATAAAATTCTTTTAAAAAGAAATCATTAAAGCCAGGTGTGGTGATACACACATTTGATTCCAACACATTGGAGGCTAGCCTGGTCTACACAGTGGTTTCAGGACAGTCAGGGCTATGTAGAGACTCTCAAAAGTTTAAAAAAAACAAAACAAAACAAAAATCAGTGGGACAAAAATCTGTGCAGAAGAGGAAGCAGAGACCATAAGAGTCAGAAGTGTGGATAACTCCAAGGAAATGTCTTTTAGACCTAATGGGATTGCTATACATATACTCACAGAAACTATGACAGTACACACAGGACCTGCACATGTTTAAGCCAAACACAACCCCAGTGCTGAGAAGGGGAACTAGGCACAAATTCCCACCTCTATTGGGAGTGGAAGAAACTGTTGCAAGTGCTACCTGCTGAGAAAGGGAGAATACATCTCTGTTGGCATGCTGAGTTTTTAGAAGCTCTTCATCTAATCTCTTGCACAGCTGGATGGATACAGCTGTTTCAGAGGAGCAGGTGCCCACTGTGGTCCCCAGGCAGCATCATGTGACCTGGAACTACAGCAGGTTCCTGGCCTTCCCCAGAAGCACAGACTCATCCCTGTACTCTGTGTTTCAACGAGTCCTGTAGGTATGCTGATGTTAGGACTAGTTAGACCTTGGGACTCGAGTCTTCCCAATGTTGAATGTACTTCTGTGTTCATGTATGATGCTGGTATTACCATTGTCAGTACTGAGCCAGACTGTGTGAGTGCCTCATGATCTACAGCTGAGTGGGAGAGGGGCTGTCATTGTCATCACGATGCACAGAGAAGGACACAGGCTTAGAGAGGCAAATACTTGCCCCAAGTCAAGGGTCCTGGGAAGCCTGGCTTTGATCTTTCTGGCACAGTTGCCAGCAGATCAGATGCTAGCCCATGTCGAATGTTCCTCAGTCCCACGACCTGTGACCTCAGGAGAGGTTTACATACAGCCCTCGTTCTCCACTCACCATCCTTGCTGTTGATGTAACTCCCTGTCTTCACCTTCTGGACTCGTTGTTTAGTGTTCATCAATGTGGAGGCAAATTTTTCTTGGGGTTTTCTGGAACGTTTAAAAAAGAAACTTTCAAAAAAATGAATTAATTCAAAATTAAACTAAATTCTTCTATCATGGAACTCCATAATTAAGAAGAATATTTTTTTTATCATAACTCTACTATCTCCTGCACACACACACACACACACACATACACACACACACACACACATATAGTCATTATATCGTTGTAGAAAGGGGTTGTCCTATGAAACAGCTACCATCTTCAGCAGATCGGCTGTGCTCGCTTGTTAGAGACCTCCTAGTCAGGTCTGAGGCTGTTGGATTTCTCTGGGAAGGTAGTAGGCTGGTCACTGACCTCTCCTTTGAGAGCCCAGCAGCGCCTCCCAGCCATTTGCAATGACTGGTTAGGGTGTAATGTGTATGGGCCCAGGAATGCTAGTTAGCTGAAGGGATGCAGTTATGGGGAAACCTGGTTCACACACTCTCTTATGCTCTGGGGTGGTGCTGCTTGAACCATGTGCTTGAAAACAGAAACAGTTTCTAAAAGAAACTTTAGCTCTAATACCAGATCATGGATAATGGACGGGCAAAGCCACACATGTGCATTACAGTATTTTTGTGAACCAAGCTTATTTCTCCTCTCTAACATGTCTTTGTGGGGATTAATTAGAGACATGTGCCACCATGCTACATGTAGTACTGGCAAAACACCCAGATTTATAAAGTAAGTAAATAAATTAATTAAAATAAAAAAATAAAAAGGAACCAAAAAAAAAAAAAAAAAGAACCACACTGAGCAGTGAGTTAGGTTAATGTCTCAGGGGACTAATGGTTCCTTAAAAATCAAAGTGAGTGTGTAATCTTGTTAAAGGTAATCATTTTCTTTCAAATAAAGGGATCTGCACCATGATTAAAGAAAGCTTGGTGAGCTGGAGAGATGGCTCAGCAGTTAAGAGCACTGACTGCTCTTCCAGAGGTCCTGAGTTCAATTCTCAGCAACCACATGGTGGCTCACAATCATCTGTAATAGGATCCAATGCCCTCTTCTGGTGTGTCTGAAGACAGTGTACTCACATGCATAGAATAAATAAATAAATCTTTTAAAAAGGAAAGAAAGAAAGAGAAAGAGAGAGAGAGAGAGAGAGAGAGAGAGAGAGAGAGAGAGAGAGAGA